TAATATTGGGTGTTTTTAATATGGATATTGCAAGTTATTTATTTTAGAAAATTAATTATCATATTTTTTTGTTGAAAAAATAGGTTTTACTAGCGAATGGTTGTTGGAGCCTTAGTCGCCACTAAAAATCACTCATAACCTTTAGTGGCAATATTTTGGGATTTTGTGGGGACAAGTTCTTTTGTAGTGAATCTTAGTTGACAATGCTTAGGTGGAGGGATTAGTTCCATGTGACTTGCCACGTCACTAAAAAATTGGGGTGTTAACTCTTGAGGGTATTTGTGGTCTCCTGGGATAACTGCGGGGGTATTTTTGATCCCAAAATGTAATGAAGGGTATAAATAATTTATTTTGCATAGTTCAGGAGCAATTTTGACCCTTTTCCGTTTTTAAAATAATAATATAATATAATACACTAGGAAACAGCCATCCAAACAAGCTGTTTAGTATTTTTCATGTTTCACTGTTTCCTGAATAGAGTTAGAAGCCGTAATATTTTTCATCTCCTTCCTTGTTCTTCAAGGCCTATTTTATTCGATCAAATTTATATCAATGCAAAAATCATTATTTCCAATATAGTGCATATCAAATTCATAAGTTGAGATGAAAATAATAAGTACATTTTTATTCTTAATCAGAGCTTTTGAGTTTGAGTCTTCAATTTTATCCTTAAAGTGAAATTTTTCGATGTGAATCTGAATACGCAGACACTAAAACGATAAAAAAGACAGGATGGAAAACAAAAAAAATAAAATCAAATTCACTATATTTTAATTCCTATAATTATAACAAATCATTTGATCATAAGTTAAATTAAGTGCATATATGTGGATATACCATTGGGGAAAGATTGGATCATGTCATAGATGTCTTGATATATACATATTTTAATTAGATTTTTTTTTTTGTTAAGAAAATAAGAAGGAAAGGAAGAAAAGAGGAGGCTAGTCCCGTGAGCAAAGAAAGTCTAATGAGAAAGAAAACCAAAAAAGATAAAGAGGAAATTTCTTAAATAACCACTAAAAATAATTTAATTATGTTTCATCGCAATAGTTTGCTAATTACGATTCTTAACTACATGTTAGAGGAGGAGAGAGGCAAGCGAGATAGGGAGGAGGAGGAGAGAGGCAAGAGATGTATATGTATATGTATAGGTAAATGTATAATTTGTATTTGTATATGTATAAGAGAGGAGAGAGACAAGAGATGAACAAAGGAGAGAGGCACACATAATTATAGCTAAAAAGAGACTGCAGTTGGTAATTAATTTAAACTATAACTATATTAGTTAATTAACTAATATATATTTATTTATCCGCTTAATTTCCCCAAAAGATAAGGCAATCCCGCAAAGAAATAGAAATCAGCAACAAAGAGTAAAAGCAAAGAAACTTGTACATGCATATATCCCCAACATTAGGCATAATATGGGGGGAGGGGGTAGAAATTCCTGATATAATTAATATTTACATTACTAGGTCATTTTATAAATAACTTCTTATGAGGACAAATATTAAATGATCATTTGAAAATTGATTGAATATTTAGAATTTGAAGTTTAAGAATTTATGTGTTTGCAATCTCAAGTAAATATAATATATAATAACTAAATTTACAGTAAATAAAATTATAAACATTTGTTGTACGCTAAACAAAAATTATTAGGTTCTCATTAATTCAATGTTGTCCAGATATTAAATAGGACAAATAACACAAATTCATTAGTTTAGGGCTTAATTATGTATCTTTCAGTGAGTTCTCAAAATTATCATTCGTCCTAGATTTTGTTCGTCAAATTAAATATATATATCCAGTGCATCCCAATGCATGTATATTTGGTCAAAATTAGGTATAATTTGTTCTAGAAATACTATATCCAAGTGTGTAATCACATGTATCTGACTCTCTCGCCCACCTCTCTCCTATCTTGCTCGCCCCTGTCCTATGTCGCTCGTTTCTCTCCCCTGTATTTCAGAATGTATTTGATATTCCAGATACATGTATCTAGTGTGATTTACATGTATTTGAGTCTCTCAATCACATCTCTCCTATCTTGCTTGCCTCTGTCCTATGTCGCTCGCCTCTCTCCCTATGGATTTGTATTTCATAATGTATTTGATATTTCAGGTACTTTTATCTAGTGTGATTTACATGTATTTGAGTCTCTCGCTCACCTTTATGTATTTGTATTTAAGAGTGTTCTGGTAGCAGAAATATGTGTATCTAACTTAAAATCTAGTATGAAATTATCAACTAATTTGACAATATGTAATTATTTCAAACTATAGGGAAATCAATTACTTTCTCTGTCCCATTTTATGTGACACTCTTTCCTTTTTAGGCCGTTCCCAAAAAAATACTCTCTCCGTCCCATTTTATGTGAGATAGTTTGACTCGGCACAAAGTTTAAGAAAGAAAGGAAGACTTTTAAAATTTGTGGTCCAAAATGAATGATAGAAATTTGTGTGGTTAAGGGTAAAATAGATATTTTATAGTTAAATTGTTACTTAATATATAAATATGTCATTCTTTTTGGGACTGACTAAAAAGGAAAGTAAGTCACATAAATTTAGACAGAGGGAGTATCACTTTACTATAATTAGAAACAATTTAACTTCAAAAATCTCCATTTATCCTTAATGAAATAATTATCAGCCATACAAATATCTAATGATTGTTTTAGACATAAATTTTAAAAATCTTCTTTTTTTCTTAAATTTCGTGTCAAGTCACAGAATGCCACATAAACTGAAACAAAGGAGATAAATATAATAGATATATTTATGTAATTAGACAGTTTTCCTATTAAATAACCCAGTAAAACTACATTAATATATAAAAATCATATTATATAAACGGGGTTGTGACATTTTAATAGTCTAGGGGGTAGGAGTAGTATTTTAAGGAAAGAACTCAAAACTATGTTGTTGTTTTTTTTTTCTTTTTCAAATGTTGTTTGAAGTTCATAATAGAGTTTCGACTAAATTTGAATCGCGCATTGTAGGATTCATTTGAGGATGACACTCCTAATATAATTTTTTCCATATTCATTGCTCAAACCTGAAATCTCTAATTAAGGATAAAACGATCTCACCACTCCACTGCAACCCATATGTGCAGTTTGTTTTTCAATGTGTCAAAGTTCCTTTACCTCACGCAATCTAAAGCAGAAACGGAATTCAGAGTACAGAGAAAGATTCCGCGTCTCGACGTGTATCTACTATTTATGTTTACTTCTTTTGTTTTATACCAATAAATAATTTAGTGATCAAATGATTACACTTCAAAGTCATTAATATCATTGATTGTATATCAATCTTTGTGGCCACGAAATATCCAACTTTACATTTTCTACCTTTCGATATAATTCGAAAAATGAATTAAGAAAATTTAATCTCTATTATATTATACGTAAAATAAAAAGTATTATAGTGTTATATATAATTTGATTTTACGCAAAAAAAAATTTGAACAAACTTTTTTGTCCTGCTAATTATCATAGAGAGAAATATTGAAATCATTTTTAAATTTGATACGAAATATACATTTTATTTTTGAACTATTGACAGCCTTAAAATCATATTTTTACTTGACTAACTGAACTTAAATACACTCCCGATCATGCAATATTAGTGAAATACACTCTTAAATTCTCGTCAAATTTATGGGTGTTTTTAACACTTTTCTTGATTTTAAGAGTTTCATGCTCCTACAAGAGTTTGAGACAATTTATTATGTCATATACTCATGTTGTATATTAAAACTATCAATAATTCGGATACAATTTCTTTTTTACCCTATACTTAAGCTCATCATTAAAATATTTCATAGCCAGCTCATTCCCATTTAATTTCTTTGTTTTTTTCCCCACTCCTATTTACACTTCAAATTTCAAACTTTGCAACTCCATACCGTATGCCCCTTGCTAAAATATTTTCTCAAGATCGTCTCAATTTAAATGGAATAATTAAAATTTTGAGAGTCAGATAAATTTTTTTATTAAAATTTTTTAAAATATTTAAATTGTTAATTATTATAATTTATAAAAAAAAATCGGAGATTTTTACGACTATATTCTTTAGTCCATGCGACAAAGAATTATAACGTGTGGAGTGGAAAATAATAAATCATGGATTATATTAAAAGTCTAACTTCTTAATATTGATGACTCTGTAGAGAATATTACCTTATGAACTTTCTTAGAAGATAAGGCAACCGACTTGCCACAACATTTTAAATCATATTGAGAACATTTACTCATCAAGTCAAATTTATATAAGTATGTATTAAAATGGACGGATTGAACTGAATTTAAGAAAATTAAAGTAGATTGAATTAATAAATAAATGAGTTATTAACCTGTTTTAAAAGGGTCAGAATTTGTTTGTATGTTTTTAAGTATTTAAAATAGTTAATTATTACTCCATCTGTCTCTAATTACTAGTCCACTTTTGAATTGACATATCTATTAAGAAAATAATAATTGACATAGTGAATCTACAATGTTACTCTTATTAATTATGAAGTTGATGAATTACAAATTTAAGATGTTCAAGAATTTCACATTTTTCAAAATTAATTAATTGAGGGTATAATAAGTAAAACAAAAATTTATCCTTTCTTGATTTGTCAAATTGAATCAGTATAAAAGAAAAATTGGACAAGTAATTAGGAATAAAATAAGTATAATTCATAATATTTTTTCCATAGTTTTCATATATATCAAAAAATTCCGAAAAAAACCCATAAAGATTGTATGTCCAAAAGAATTACTATCAAAATTAAAGTTTAAATTTCAAAATTTAAAGTGTGTCATATAAATTAAGACGGATGAAGCAACTCCAACTCAAGTACAACCCTAGGGGAGGGCCATTCAACTATATAAACACCAACACACCAAGCAACTCAATTTCTTCTTTCATTTTCCCCATCTAACTTTCCATCCTTCCCACCCTTTTTCTCATCCTCCTCCATAGATATATATATTTCTTAAAAAAACCATGACTTCAACCTCTAAAAACAACAACCAACACAATAATATTGTGATGAACATCTCATGTAATAACAATAACAATAACAACAATAATAATACAACTTTTGTCCAAGCTGATTCCTCTAACTTCCGTTCCGTGGTCCAAAAACTCACTGGTTTTGAATCCAACAAGCTCCCCATCATCGATCGAGCCCGGTCATCGACCTTCAAGTTACACGAACGGAGGCATAGTACAAGAAATCTTGACTGTATTTTTACAGGTAAGACGACGAATTTGTCGAAAATTAGTAGTAGTTTTCTTGCATCTCCAGTTTCACCTCTTGAAATGCTGACACGTGGAATAAGTCCAAGATCAACCATGGAGGAGGATGAAGAAGAAGAAAAAAGAGCTATAGCTGAGAAAAGATTTTACTTGCATCCTAATACTCCTAGAGCCTCTCAACCACCTCAACTCCTATCTCTATTTCCTCTTCAATCTCCTAAATCCACACATCATTCATAAATTAATAGCGTAACTTTAACTTGACCTCAACTGATAAATAAGTAGCTAGATATTTAAACTTAGCTTCAATAAAGTTGAACAACTAAACATATGTGCTACGTAGGACAATACATGTGGATACTAGTTCAACTTTATAAGTTTAAGTATCAATTTGTGAGCAGTTGAGTCTTATAAGTTAAATGTTTATGTATTATGTTCAAATTAATTGTAGGACGTATTATTCACTTTATTTATTTATTTATATATAGACACAAGTTATATTAATCATGAAGAGTATTTTGTGTTAATTCTGATGTTGTAGTGTTGGGTCAATTTTGGTATTAAATAATATTTGAAGATGTACGCTTCCACTCTTTCTTTTTTAATTTCCCCATTTGTGTTGCACTCTTTTTTTAACGAGGTACAAAATGTGTATCGTCTAACATTTTTTCCTTTCAAAATAGTTATTTTTTTTCTTCTCGTTTTATTTTATTATTTTAATTTTAGCGTTAAGGTGTGAGTGTTTGCATAAGGAGAGGGGTGAATTACAAACATGGACAAATCTAATTGAACTTATCATTTTTATATATCACAAACATTACTTTTCTCGTCTCATATTAATTGTTTATTTTTTTCACACTCCTTTTAAGAAATTCTAAATAAGAATAGCAGTTTACTTAATTAATTGGACATTAACCGATCAACTGTTTGACCAAGCTGCTTAGGAATTGGTATTTAATTACTAGCTATTTAAATTTTAAACCATAAAGAAAAAAGGAATTAAAAGAATATCAAGGCAATATTGAAAACTTTCTTTGTCCTTTTTTTAACGTTTAGTTTTAATTCCCTTTGAACAAGTCTTCTACCAATTTCAGTTATGATTATAGTTTATAACTACTACCAAGAATTTATGAAATCATTAATTAATTGTTATATCACTAACATTTATTCAAACTTAGTAAGTCTATATATCTTTGATTAAGAAGTCAAGTGAAGGTACAAATCAAGGTCCTTAATTGTTTGACTCCTAAACCTTACTTAGAAAAGTTGAATTTGGCTAATACTTGCTGCAAAGGTTAATTACTCATTCAAAACAAATACTTTTTGTACCACTAATAAGTCTTCATTTCACACTCCCATGTTGTACATTTTTACAAGAGGAATTAAATTTTTTTAATTTCTCACTCGGTGTTCAGAAGATCATATTGAAGTTTGACTAAATTTGGATCACGCACTGTAGTGCTCATTTGTGGGTGATATTCCCAACATGATTTTCTCCATACCCAGGACTTCTCAATCCATCTTTTATTTTTTGGTTGTTGTTCATGTTGGCTTAGCACATATCTTAAAAAGTAACTATAAAACAGTAGTAATATTATTATATCAATCTTAATTATTTATTAAATGTTGAGAAATGAATAATACTTCATATTAAAGATAAAACAGGTATAAAATGATACATTTTGTCTTTGATTTTTCAAAGTAGGCATATATTTTTAGTATAACTAATGGACGGAGTATAGTTTATTTTGTTTATCATTTTGCCAATGGACACTATCTGTATTACTCCCCCCCCCCCCCCCCCCCCCCTTTTTTTTTTTTCAATGACAATAAAATATATTACAATATTTCCAATATAGGTACAACAATTTATGTAACACTAGAGCAAGTGTGAATTTAAGTACCAACGGCTACAATCTCCAATTCAACGTTACGTTGGTCTAGTTTTTATTAGTTTTTTCGAATTCAAATCCATTTATTTTACATAAAGATATAGATGAAAGTGGTCCAAATCCAATATGTTGCTATGCCAATTCAAATTAAGTAGTACGTGCATTGAGTTCAATAAATAGCCTCACTATCTACGATAAATTTAAATTTGGTACTTCATCCTATATATATTACAATAGTTACTACGTACATGTTTAGAAATGATATTGCTTTCAAGTAGATCATTATGTTTGTTGAACTATATATAAGTAAAATCCCCTTTAAGTCACTCAAAAAAAAAAAAAAAAAGTAATAACAATATATTCAGTATAATTTCACAAAATAAAGTACATGAAAGAAGGATAAGCATGCAATGAAAATCTTTAGAAAAGAAAAGGTTTTGAGGTTCAAAAAAGGATTACTAATATTCACAATATAGCTTGCCTTGAATGGTCATTTTCTACAACCTCCGTTTCAAAATAGTTTATCTTATATTTTTATTTACATGCTCTTTAAGAAAGAAAACATTAATTCATAATGGTAGCTTTTTGATTATTTTACTGTTAAGAAGTCCCACATCGGTAGAGGAATATGAATTTGATCTCCTTGTACGAACTTGGACAAACCTTATATTATGAGCTAGTTTTTGAGGTTGAGTTAGGCCAGGTGTTATATTTTCACATTTATACTCTTAAAAAGCGTAAAATATTTTATAATAAATGAACTATAAGTATTTTGAGACAAAAAGAATAATTATTGGTGTGCATCGATCGATTTGGTTCGGTTCGATTTTATGTATTATTAGTTTGGTTTATCGGTTTTCAGTTTTTAAATACATCAAATCAGTAAGATATTTTTATCGATTTTTAGTCCTTAACGATTCAATTTTCGGTTTAACCAATAAGAATATGCTCATAAATTATATGCTTCTACAATAATATAATTTGGCGCGACAAAACAATAATGTAACTTTATGGAGTGCTAATAAATTAGAAACAAAATAGTAACTACATACAACGAACTATATAAATGCAACACAAATAAAAGAACTAGGATAATAATGTTAATTTGAAGGCTAAACGGAAAATGTAGTAACCAATACGATATTTATTACTATATTTATTATTTATGTAGGGGTAAAAAAGTAAATTACTATTGTCTTAATAAGTTACCGATTTACCAAATAACTCAATATTAAGAAATTGATATCAAACTTATAACCCGATAATTTTATTTCATAAAACCATTAAAAGCACATTAACTCCATAACAACATCTCAAGAACATATTTTTAATTTAATTTACTGATCGATTCAATTTTTACACGCCTTTAAAAACAGTAACTAGTAATTTTGTGGACATGATATGTAGTTTTGACAAGAATTTAGAGCCCGTTTGGATTGACTTAAAAAAATAGCTTTTAAGTCAAAAATAAAAAAGTCAAACTGAAATGAATTTTAAGTCAAAAAAAAAGAAAGTAAAGGGAGACCTATACTTTTGGTTTTTGACTTATTTTAAGTCATTTTTTACCTTGTCAAACAATTTTCAATTTATTTTAAATTATTTTTTATATTTGCCAAACACTTTCAGAAGTTAAAGACTGACTTGAAAGTATGTTTGACCAGCTTTTAAGTCAATCCAAACACTCACTAGTGGAGAAATGTTTGTTATATTCAAAACGTGTCTTGTAGAAGAGTTACGTAGTCGACTTTAAGAGGACATAAAAAGTAAGAATTTTAACCTTTGGGGAAGACTCTGACAGGTCTTATTTCACACATTGCCATCAAAGTTAGATGACAAATTAGTCTTACAAGAAAAGAACAATATTATATATTATATATATAGTATACTATATAGTTAAATTCTGCAATATATTTTGTCATCCACTTCTGTAATCTTATCTGGTCCCTCACATTGACAAGGGTGTGGGGCAAGTGTTGAAAATAAGAAGAAAATTACAACACAAAATAAAAGAGTCAATTGGAAGTTTTCTAGACTTGTATGAAATTATATTTGCATTGATTTTTTTGTAGAAGGCTCAAAAATGTCCTTAACGTATTAAAAATGATTTAAAATTTTTTTTCTGTCATTTATTAAATTAAATTTATCCCCTTTTTTTTATTTATTGGATCAAAAATGCTTCAAACCTATAGGTTAAGGACATTTAGACCCGACTGTTAGATTTTTCTATATCTAATTAGTGGGAGCTTGACAATTTAAAATAAAGTAGGAGCGGTAAATCTTCGATTTGACGATTATGATGTCATTATTATTGAAAATGTAATTTCCTCGAAAGACGAAAGTTCATGTTATTAGTCTACATTCCGTTAAAGTAATCGGCGGACACTATCGAGAAATCAATACAATTTTTTTTTATGTAATTGAAGGACTTCCAACCATTTTTATTTTTAAAAAAAATAAAATCGACAAACTTTGTCGGTTATTTTACATTTAAAATAGCAATTTTTTTTATTCTAATACCATCTTCGATTTAATTTAATTAATTGATAGAGGCTATCGAAAATATCCAACGGAGTCCATTAATTTTTTTTTTCCCACTACAATCATTCTTGTCCCTCGAAACGCGTTATTGATTAGTAGTGCACTATCTAATGTAAACTTACCATTATTTTTTAGTTAATAAGATTGAATTAAGATCTATATTAAGTTTGAGTATTTTTGGATATGAAATTTCCTTTGTTAGGAAGGGTATTTTGAGGTTTTTTGACGTGAATCTGCATTTAATCAGACTTTAATACGGATCTAGGGACAGAAAACCAAAAGAAAAGAAGAACAAGTTTTTTGGCACAAATTTAGGTAGGTTAGTTGAGAAAAGAAAGATGTCTACAAGACTACAACTTTGTCAAATCATATATTGCTTTCCACCTCATTTTATTATGGTAACATCATACCAGTATATGGAGCATCTCCTTTTCTATAATTTGGTTATATATATAATTCTTTTTAAATTTATGTGATATAATTAAAATTTTAAGAGTTGATCAAATTATTTTTTTACGAAAATTTGTTATTATTTTTAAACTATTAACTGTTTTTACTTGTTAATTATCTTCATTTATAATATTTTTACATTCACAGTCAAAATTAAAAACTCAAATCTCAAAATTTAAATTGTGCCACAAAAATTGAGGATATATATATATGTGGTGATTGATTTTGAATAACATGTATTGAGATGCCTAAAACAGAATAATTCCACTGTGAGTAAGTCAATACTTTCACATCAACTATTTGGGGGTTCCTTCCTTGAAATTAAACATCTGTTTTACGTGCCATTTCTGATGGTCTACG